AAAAAAAAAAAAAAAAAAGAATCTCATTTCTGTGCAGTAGTCTCTTATCCATGGGGAATACATTTGAATACCCCCAGTGGTTGCCTGAAACCTCAGATAGTACTGAATCCTTATATACAGTACTATGTTATTTGGATCTGATACTCAGGATGTCTATTAAGTGACTAATGTGTAGCATCACTGGTGTGGTTACTCTGGACAGACATGATTCATGTTCCCGGGGGATGGAGTAGGACAACACAAAGTTTCATCACACTACTCAAAACAGTTTGCAACTTATAACATGAATTTCTGGAATTTTCCATTTAATAGTTTTGGACTTTGGTTGACCAAGGACAACTGAAACCCAGAAAATGAAACCGTGGTAAGGAGGAACTGCTGTACAGTGTGACAGGGCCCTTTTCACTTGCGCAGCATTTTGTTGAATGGTGTGAAAAAGGAAGGAATTTTAGACATGACTATATATTTTAAAACCTTAAAATTTGGGCCTGAAGTTAATTTCTCAGAGGTTTGGGGTTATTAGAGAAGACCCTGTTTTTTCTTTCTGGCTCTATGGCTAGCTGAGTTACTTAGTAACTTTTCCTGCCTAGACTTTTCTTTTTTCAAAAAATGAGGAAAGTCAGGAGCATGAGAAGACAAGCCACAGCCTAAAAGAAAATATTTGCAGAATACACATCTGATCAATGATTGTTAATCCGAAATATACAAAGAACTCTTTAAAGTTAATGAGGAAACTACTCAGCTTTTTAAAAAATGGGCAGTAGACCTGTACAGATGTCACCAGAGATGTACGGATGGCAAATAAGCATATGAAAAGATGCTCCGCATCATATATCCTTAGGGAACTGCAAATCAAAACCAGACACCCATTCCATACCTGGCAGAATAGCCAGATCCAAAACCCCAACAACACATGCTGGTGAGGATGCAGAGCCACAGGAGCTGGTGCCACCACTTTAGAAGAGTTTTTAATAAAACTAAACAGTATTACAAAACAACATGCATAATATTATCATGTGATGTAGCAGTCATACTCCTTGATATTTACCCAAGGAGATGAAAAGTCATTTCCACACAAAAACCTGCATACAGACATTCATAGCAGCTGTATTCATCGTTTCAAAAACTTGGAAGCATCCAAGATATACTTCAGTAGGTGAATGGATAAACTCCACCTGGACAGTGGAATATTATTCGGCCCTGAAAGGAAATGAGCTATCAAGTCATAGAAAGACACAGGGAAACTGAAATGTATATTACTAAATTGGAAAAAGCCAATCTGGAAAGGCTATATATGACTCCAACACATGACACTCTGGAAAAGGCAAAACTGTGGCAATAGTAAAAGGATCAGGGTGCAGTGGCTCACGCCTGTAATCCCAGCACTTTGAGAGGCTGAGGTGAGTGGATTACCAGGTCGTGAGTTCAAGACCAGCCTAGCCAATGTGGTGAAACCCCGTCTGCACTAAGAATATAAAAATTAGCTGGGCGTGACGGTGGGTGCCTGTAATCCCAGCTACTTGGGAGACTGAGGCAGGAGAATTGCTTCAACCCAGGAGTCAGAGGTTACAGTGAGTCAAGATTGTGCATTGCGCACCAGCCTGGGCAACAGA